TCGCTACGACTACGTATAGATGCTATTCTTAGCTTGTTTTGTGAGTTTCCCATTCTTTTGTTTGCGCCTTTCTCGAAACAACACGACATAGGTAATACGACATATGTAAATAATATTAAGCGTATTCATAACAATGTTTATTGAAATGCGAATTTTCAATTTTTGTTATTATTATTATTATTATTTCAGCCTTTAACTGTTCATTGTTGAACATAAGATTTCCCCATAAGGGGAGTTTTGCTAGTAGTTGCCATGCTTGGCAAGCGGGTTGGCAATTGCCGTTAGGCTTTTGCAGATGTTTTAAGAGGGACGCTGCTGCTCATCCCTCCACTGTTAGCTCTCTTATTTGCCTCTCACGACACCCAAGGGAAAGGAAAGGGTGGTCCATGCTATGTCGGGTCCTACACGATGAATTTTCAATATTTCTGATCAATTATTTAATTAATAATTATGATTGTGTAAAACATTACCAGAGGGAGACTTTGTACAAAAGTCGATTGCTTGGGTACCTTTGTCTCATTCGTGTTTCTACCATGAAGCAGTTGCGTTTGCATGGCTGTGTTTCGGTTTGAAGTCTTAGGAATGGCATCAGGAATGGCAATGTATGAGGAGTGCGATGGGCATAACAGTGCACTCTGTTATGCCTATGGTACTGTTCATATCTATAGGTGACGGTTACCACTTTTCATCAGGTGGACAGCTTGTTTACCATCCTAAGTATACCTGCATAAAAATACTTGTTATTATAAAAATTAATTTATCATATGATATATTATATATTTATTACATCAACTGGATGCGCTTTACAGTCTTCCAATACGCTCACCCAGGAAAGCATCAGTACAAAAACTCGTATAACAAAGGAATAATGTAAAAAACAGGTTTAACTTAACTAGAAATTACATTATAGCCTAAATCTCTGAACACATACACTGTGTGGTTATCCGACGAAACTTATTATGAAAAACTTAAACTTATTACTATATTATTATTATTATTTATTTATTTTATTTATTTACACATACACTAAACAAACCATTCATTTAAATAGTATCATTAGTTAAATACAATTGCTTTTAAGAAAAACAATATAAATTATACATGTTACATATAACAAAACAACATAATAATGGAGATTACACAATTATATAATAACATTACTATTTTACTTTAATTTTGAATAAAAGAAAAATATATAAAAAACAAAATGAATGTAGCAGTGTTTGTGCAAAGGACCTAAATCAGCATATGTCGCAGTATCAAATATTAATATTATGTATATTGTAATAATCAATTTATATTATATACGTATACCTTACATATTGTATATAGGTATTCATTATTTAACCGTTAATATGTCTAAGTATCCCAATAATAAAGTGCCGGAGGGGAAGGGATTGTTAGTAATGGAGACTGAGAATCCCATTGCTAGCAATATAGCCAGATCTCCTCGCGGTTCCCCCTGGAAACTATCATGGTTAATTCATGATGAATTCATCATGATGGGCTAACTGGCCTGTTTTCATTCTCATCTATCACCCTTCACTGGTGCTCCGCCAGCGTATCCCGTTAGCGCAGGCGGGGTTACCATACCATTTTCACCCATCAAAAAAAAAAAAGTACCACGTTCGTGATTCACTGTTCATTCCAAAGGTTGACTGGTAGAGAATGTCACTAGCATTAAAACCGCCTTTTATACAATATTTTATTTTGTTCAATAAAATTATTTTAAATAAATAATTAAAAAAATAACTTTTATAATATCAGTAAGATGGTAATCTTAAGGTTCGCAAACAGGAATCCGTAAATAAGCACGTAACACATTCTCCCTGCGGAGCAAATATCCAATTTCGGACAGTTATTGAAAACGATGGAACGCCTCTGCTAATCTTTTGTTTATTTATCGAATCAACCTTATCAGCTGTTTGTTTCTATCCAGTTTAATATTTATTTATTTATTTATATTTTTGCACGCATTAGAATATGTCTACGGGGCGGACTTAATGCCTGATGGCATTCTCTACCAGTTAAACAGAGGGAGTAAATGGCGGTGCATAGATTTAAATAAAAAAAAAAATTGTAAATTAATTAAATATTTTGAACTATAACAATTTATGATAAATAAACATATATTTACAAAAAATATGTATTCATAAATCACATACAATACATATATAAGGTGTTACTAAATTATTTGTATTCCCTTTAAGGGGATATAGTATTACGCATATACGTTACACTAATAATAGATATTCGTGTCTCAAATGTCATAAAATTTTTCATACAAAAAATATCTTTAGTCAATGTAATTTTTTCACCCTGTGCAAAAAGTGCCTTTTAAAAAACGTTACGCTAAAACTGACGTAGCGAGCGCGACCAACGATGAGTCAAAGAAAAGTATGGTTACAAGGACGTTTTACAAGCAATGAAGAAATTTAAGTATTTTTTTATTTTATTTTTTTACAATAATTTCATACTACTTCGCATTACTACTATATATCTAATACTATGCCTTGTAGCAGGGAATGCAGATAATTTGGTAACATCTTATATAAATAACTATACATAGTATATAATAGATTAATTAATATATAAATCATAACTAAGTATATAACAGATTGAGGCTTTTCATTGTTGTTTTTACGTCGCCAATCTCGTTTTTTAAACTCGTGTATCTAGTAAATAAAGTATAAAAACAATTATTTAAGCGTTTATTTAGGACTAGACTGCGACTTCGTACGAAAAGATATTGGATACTGGACCAATGACATAAACTACTTTAAGATAGCCTATTGCAATAAAATATACGCTTGATTATAAAATGGATCTTCAGGAATACAATTGTAAAAATTATATCTGATTTAATGCAGCTATTTTTGTAGTATTATATTTTTGACTATATATATATATATATATATATATATATATATATATATATATATATATATATATATACATATATACAGGAACAACGATAAGTTAATAATAATGTTAGCAAAGGCAAACTTATATATAACAGTCCACTACCGAACATAGGCCTCCCTCTATTGGGGGATTTTGCCAGTAGTTGCCACACTTGGCAGGCGGGTTGGCAACCGTAGTTAAGCTTTGGTGATGTTTAAAGAGGGACGCTGCTCTCCATCTCTCGACTGTTAAGTTCCCTTACGACACCCATGGGAAAGGAAGAGATGACCCATATCTAGGCCTGGACCACACAGCAATAAAGACAAATAAGTAAATTGTCTAAAAAATAGACAAACAAGTGTATTGTTTAAAAAAAAACCTCGGCTTACATTGTTAATTACTTTCATTAATTAGACTGAAGTGTAAATGAAATTCGTTGTTGTATTTGTTTAAGACAACAGAATTGCGTCAATTTATCTAATACCTTTACTAAAGGGAAAACAATATTAAAGGGTTTAACGTAATGGGGGTTTTAATTGGCCATGAAATATTACTTGCAATTTCTATAATTGTTTTGTACAGTTTTACATATAATAATATAATTGTAATGCTTGTATTTATGAGATTTCGTTTAGACTTAGGTTATGGAATGAGCTCTCTACCGAGGTTTTCCCAAGAGACTGCAGCATGGGGTTCTTCAAAAAAAGAGTAAAATTGCAGTAGGAAATGCGCGTAATGCCTCTGGTATTACAGGCGTTCATAGGCTACGGTAACCGTTTACCACCGGGTGGGTTATATGCTGGTTTGGCACCTCAGTAGTATAAAAAGAATGACTAAAATTCAAACGAATTGAGAATAATTTTCTTTAAAAAGTTGCTTAAAAAAACGACTGATTGTCGTATATATATATATATATATATATATATATATATATGAGAGGCTAAGCGTGGAAAAGAGTTTTATAAAATGATTCCTTCAATATTTTGGGGTCATCGGATTTTCTGTAAACTAGAATTTAAAAGCACAGTTGACTGGTCTGCTAAAGTTGGCCAGCTATCGTACTTGCTAAAAATCATTCATACTCATTTTGAAGTCGATTTTTGTTTTACAACGCCCTTTTGACTACCGCCGCCCATGATCACCGACAACACCAACAGCATTACAAATATGTTATCGACCTTTTAAAAAGGAATATGCTCTTTTTTTGAAGGTTATGTTGTTGTATCAGTTCAGAAATACTGCTGCTGGAAGTTGATTCCAAAGAATGGTTATGCGTTAAAGAAAGTGTCGATTTAAGTTTATTGTGCATAATTTACTTCATCATATACCTTATGTCATTTACTTAAACGCTGAATTGTCTTTCTGCTCTGAAAATACTAGATTACGTACCTATGTAACTAATGAGGTAGAGAATTGTTGTTCACACTGATCAGAAGTGTTAGCCCAACTGCACGAGACTGTTCTGTCTTGTCTATCTTTTGTGACATTGATTGGATTGCTTTGTCAGTAATGTCTTTAGCGATTGTGAGACAAAGTGTACGGTGTCCATTGAGATACGAGATTACTTGTGCGTTTAATGCGATTTTCTTGTTCATTAGTGCTGAATAAGAAAATCTCATTGCATGCTTTGTGAAATGCTTCAATGATATGTGAATCAATTTTGCGTTTTGTTAATAGAAATATGTAGTTGACCAAATAGGCGACGTGCTGTAGAAGGGCCAAATTAAAAGTGCCCGTAACCGGCGAGCGTGTATGGAAAGATTGATGAATGTGGAGGAAGCGAAAGAGGTTTGTTTGAATCGAAGCATTTGGCGTTCCATTGTTTCTGCCTACCCTAATGGGAGACAGGCGTGACAGATATGTATGTATATATGTATGAATATGTAGTTATTTTAAAGAAGTAAATATCCAGTACTCTTTATTTTGTATATAAATGTTGTTTTAAGAGCGACCGTGCTACTCATCTCTCAACCATAAAGTTCCTTTAGTCTTCTCACAATATCCATAGGAAATGAAGGGGCGGCCTATTCTATGCCGTGACCACACGGTGAAAAATTCTTTTAAATTCTTAATAAAATTTATTTTTCTTGTTGCAGCGTGACGAACATATTCCTGGTGAACCTGTCGGTGGCAGACTTGCTGGTCACACTGTTCTGTATGCCGGTACAGATAGCTAAGTCTGTCACGCTGCTGTGGTACTTCGGGGAGGTTATGTGCAAGACAGTTAATTTTCTACAAGGTAAGTTTTTCGTACTATACAATGTTACTAATTTTGTTAAACTATATATTTTTTTTATACAACTTAGAATGGCTAACAAGCTGACGGGCCACCTGATGGAAAGTGGTAACCGTTGCCTATAGACATGAGCAGTACTATGGACATAACAGAGTATACTGTTTCGCCCATGATACCCCCCATGCATTGCTATTCCTGAGGACTCAGGTGTACTTTTGTACAAAGCCTCCCTCCGGTAATGTGTTTACTGACCGGAATAAAAAGTAGCCTGTATCTTTTTTCATCTGAATTCGGTATTTCAAATTTCATGAGATTTAATGAGGACGTAAAAATAATATGTAAATACAATGAAACCTAACCGACATAGTCCGAAAGATAAGCAAGCTGAAGTGGCAATGCGCTGGTCACAAAACCGACAACCGATGGGGAAGAAAAGTTCTTGAGTGGCGATCGCGTACGGGTAAACGTAGCGTAGGTCGACTCCCCACTACATGGAGTGAAATGCATTGCAGGGATTTAGTGGTTGCAGGTAGCTCAGGATCGTTCTTTATAGCAGTCTATGGGTGAGGCCTATGATAGTGAAACTTGTATCAAAATATAGCGTGGTTTAAAAAATCAGAGAGACAAACAAATGCAAATCGCGGCTTTATTTTATACTATTTAGAGACTTCATGTATGAATTACAATATTGTAATACATAAATGAAGATTTTTTTATACAACTTAGAATGGCAAACCAGCTGGCCCACATACACAAAATACATACATATACATACAGAAACATGAAAAGTTTAATAATAACAATGTGGTTAATATAATCTCATCATTTTTATATATGTATATTAAACATTTCCGAACGCCACGCCCCAATACACTTCTACCCTCCTTACCTATCCATATTCCTGATCAAATCTGGAATCACATTGGGGGGGTAGATGGACAAAATCAGACTTATAGATCCAACTGTGCGTCGAGCTAATCAAGTTCCTGTAAGATCACAAATAAATCTCCGCCAGTTGCATATTATTCAATCAGCCGCGATCTCCGCGCAACATACAGTGATACTTAAGCGAATCAACAAAAGTGTTGGACAATTTGAAGATAAAACAAGAACGCGTAAAAAACACGGGGAGTTCGTGAACCAGGTTTGTCTTTCACCGTTCTTATAATCCGACATAATGGATGATAGAAGGTAGACGATCTAGCTGCGTACTATTTTATTTTAATGGGTGATAATGGAATGGTAATCCCACCCGTGCTATCGGTATACACCGGCGGGGCGCCAGTGAAGGATGATCGATGAGGATGAGGCAGGTCAGTTAGCCCAACGTGACGAATTCAACAAGAATTGTTCACGATGGTTTCCAGGGGGACCTAATAGGGTATATTGCTAGCAATGGGGCTGTCAAACTCCATTGCTAACAATTCCTTTCTTCCCTTTAGCTGCGTACTAGATTTGATTTATATTCATTCGCCGTTTATGCGTAATTATCATTAAAATCTGGTGATTCATATTTATAATGCCAGTCAATTTCAAGATATTGTATCATTTAATGGACAGGATATTTATTATAACAAAACGTAGCCCATTTTTAAATAGTCTATGATCCACTGATAAAACTTGTAAATATTACGTATTTTCAACCATTTATCCTTCATCATAGATATTATATTAATGTTCTCGAAGGTGAAAGAAAACTATAATTTATTCTGTGAATATGTAATTACATGAATAAATAAAATCAATTGTCGAATGTAGGTTAGCCCATCAGTTCAGAATAGTAACAGCCATTTGGCTATTTGTTGCATTCAGACTGATTGGCAGAACAAATTTTATATGAAAAAAAAATGTGAAAAATTGTAAATAAAAGTTATTTTTTTTATACAACATAGAATGGCAAACAAGCTGACGGCCCACCTTAAGGAGAGTGGTAACCGTCGCCTATAAACATAAGCAGTTCCATGGACATAACAGAGTATATTGTTTTGCCCATGATACCCCCAATGCGTTGCCATTCCTGAGGACTCAGGTGTAACACCTCTGTGTGTGTAAATACATGCCATAGCTCACCCTTCAAACCGAAACAGCCATGCAAACACAACAGTTTTACGGTTGAAACAAGAATGAGGCAGAGGTACCCAAGCAAACGACTTATGTACAAAGTCTCCCTCTGGTGAGACTCTTGTGAATTCTTTGTGTTTGGAATCTATACAAACGTAAAATGTCTTGGACCCTTTGCTTTGTCTGACGCTGGTTTATTTGAATAGTTTTTCTTTCGATATTATTTATTATTAGTCTTTAACTGTCTGCTGCTGAACACAGGTTTCCCATAAGGGAGGTTTTGCTAGTAGTTAATAGATACTCTTTATTATAATCATCCGAGCATATGTCCCGGTTGCATCCTAATTGGAGCCCAGGGTACGCTTGCAAGCGACACCATATGTGACTTGACAAGATCAGCTTTTTACAAGAGCGACTGCCGTGAAAGCTTTCCCGTTATATGGATGCTTGTAGGTACATACGCTTTTAAATTTCTTCTCTAGCGTATGCAGGTTTCCTCACGATGTTTTCCTTCACCGTTTAAAGCGAGCGATAATTTAGAAAAATTGCTAAATCCGTACATATGTTAGAAAATAACTCATTGGTACAGGCCCCAGCCGAGATAGATACTCTTTATTGTTTCCTCCAAAAGGTTACAATGTTGGTAATATTTATTTATTTATTTATTTATTCATTAAAAATAATTATAACATTATAACGGCAAAAGCCAAATCAATGTTATAAACCTAGTGTGCTAACATACAGAGTTATAATAAATGTATTTAACCCAGACTCTAAATATTTCTGAGCCGCTTCTAATATCTTTATACTGGGTACAGAGGAATAACACCTGAGTCCTCAGGAATGGCAATGCATGGGGGGTATCATGGGCGAAACAGTATACTCTGTTATGTCCATGGTACTGCTCATGTCTATAGGCGACGGTTACCACTTTCCATTAAGTGGGCCGTCAGCTTGTTTGCCATTCTAAGTTGTATAAAAAAAAAAAAAAAAAAAAAGGCTACTATATGTATGTATAATGTATGTATGTAATATTATAATAATATATGTTTATTATTTTTTTATTACTTTTTGAATTTAACATTGTTCATGCCATTGTACCATCAATTATATTTTCCATTATTCCTGTCTACGGTCGGCTGGTAAATAACGCCATATGGTGTTAAGTTCGCCATTCAGACTTTCTAGGCGTATTGACATATTAAAGGCGGGATCTGTAGTAATGCGATTTATCTCGATTGTAGCTTAACCAGTTAAATGTGACTGACGAGTAACTCATTATGGAGAAGTGGCAAAATCGTTGTGTTATCTAGCATATATAAATTTAATATATAAATAAATAGATTTTTAAAAATCTCCTCATAAAAAGTGAGTGAGTGAGTAAGAGCGAAGATTTGCTTAGTTGTATTAAAATTAGGGAAGATTTGGTTTCGTTTTCTTCACTAGTATGCCAGTGCGAAGTCGGAATGGGCAGGTAGTAATTAATAATAACGTTGACTCGCTAATTTTTCTCATTCTATTAAACAATAAGCAATGTTTGCAGATGACAGGGACCACAATGAAGACGTGCATCTCGCTCATTTGTGTGTGTACTGTGTTACATTGTAAAATTAATTTTTAAATATGTATAAAATACGTGACAAGCCTACCAAATAGGGCTTTGCAAGGGAAAAGGGTATATTTTAAGCATTACTGTATTAAATGAAGTGTCACTTCTGCCTAGTTTATGCTTTTAATATAACTCTATCTAAGTATAACTAGAAAATTGAGAATAAGTCTTTATAAGTGATCGAGTTTGATAGAAATTGTTTTATATTAACTGACATTTATAGTGACTAGATTGGTATATTTCATATATTAAATATTATTGATACCTTTTTATATATATTGTATTTTATTTTATTTTATTTATTTATTTAAGGAACACCAACAGCATATTGCATTATAACATATAGGTATAACAACATTAAATACAATACAATATTAATGCACATGCCTATTATAGGTATTCACAGCATTCACTTTAACATAATTATACAGTGTAAGAAATTTAACTAAATAACAAAAATAAACATGTAATCTAAGTTGTGAGCAATATCAGAAAATAAGATTATGAGTGAATTAAATTAAAAAAAAAATATTAAAAAAATATATATTATGACAATTAGAGTTAATGTTCATAAGATTGTTGTACAAAGTGCTTCAGCAATTTATTCCTGTAGGAATTCGAATTATCGTACACTATATCAATTTCAGGTAATTTGGCATTAATTTCATTGTATGACGCACTAATCCTGTATATTGTAAAACTGTGTTGTAAAAAAAAAAGAGATTTCTTCCAGTCAACCTAACGCAGTGGCATAGGAAGTAGTGAGTGGGCAGTAGTAGTGCAAAACAGAAATTAAAATAAATATTTACATAAATTACAAATTATTATAATCAAATAATGCAACTTTGTTCAATAATACACCGCGTACGTATTTCTCTGTTTGCCCAATAGTTGACTGGTAGAGAACACCGTCCGGTGTTAAGTCCGCCAAATGTAGGTACATGGAATTTTACTGTGTATTAAAGTTTAAATAAATAAGTAAATTAATTATATGATTTTGATTTTAAAAATTCGTTTTAAGTATATAAAGCTTACATTATTAGTGAGTAACAAGATTTTTATTATATTAAAAAAAAAAAAATGTGAAGCTGACGCGAGCTGCAAGTTTACAATACTGGAATATATTTCATACATTCAGTAAATGTTGAAATATAAAACGAGAAAGTTTCCAAGAATGTTCGGATGCTGCAAAAATAGATGAAAGGATTGTATTTCAATTTTGTAAACAGACAGTACCATTGCATGCTACATTACATTAGAAGTTTTTGATCTGGGACCTCATTCCCATCGGTACTTTACAAACTACATACTACTTACATACTACATACTACTACATTAGTCTCGTCTCTTAGACTCTTGTTAGTTTGAAACAGTTATGTATTATTTTATTGTATTTATTTATACCAACAGTATTTTTTTTTAATGGGTGCTGATGGAATAGTAACCCCGTCTGCGCTATCGGTATACGTTGGCGGAACACCAGTGAGTGATGATAGATGAGAATGACAAGACAGTTCAGTTAGCCCATCGTGTTGAATACACTTGGAATTCAGCACGATGGTTTCCAGGGGGGGACCACGTGGAGGTCGACCTGTTTGGGTATATTGCTAGCAATGGGGTCCTTAGTCTCCATTATTAACAATCTCTCCCTATAATATATAATATATATATGTGGGGATCTACAATATTCGCTGTGTGGTCCCAGCATTGAATGAGCCAGCCTTTTCCGTGGGTATCGTAAGAGACGACTAAGGGAACTTAAAGGTAGGGGGATAGGCAGCAACGTCTTTCTTAAAATATCGCCAAATCCTAACTACGGTTGCCAACCCGTCTACCAAGCGTGGCAAATACTAGCAAAAACCTCTTTATAAAGAAGGTTTATGATCAACAGTGGACAGTTATCAACCGATATGATGATGATGATGATGATCAATTTTGCGATAATTGTAGCTGCTGTTCTGCATGGTGGAGCAAAAATCTGATTACTTATTGCAAAAGCAAAATTTACTTGTACACACATTGTGTAAAAACACGATTTATCTTTCTGAATTCTGAAATATTTGTTTGTAATCTGGTCATGTCTCTATTTGTTTCAGGGGTGGCAGTCGCATCCAGCGTATTTACCATCACAGCCATGTCGGTAGACCGGTACCTGGCCATCACGCAGAGTCTGCGGCAACCCTGGATGCCGTCAAGACGCGGTGCCTGCAGCCTCCTTGCTGCGCTGTGGTTTGTGGCGCTGATGATATTTGCTCCGTTACTAGGAGTGGCAGCGGTTGAAAGAGAGATGGTGCCATTGCTGTCCAAGACGAGAAATGGATCGGTAAGATATTTTTATTTAAATTTTTATCAGTCTTCACGCTAAATTCCTTGAGGGGTAAGCAGAGAGAACCGAATACCAAAGGCCTCTATTCTTGCACATATCTTGCATTTCATGCATTTTCAAGACTCGTCTGACATATGCGCGCGAGTTCCGGAGCTTCATGACTTCATCCTTCTTCTATTATATGTAATAGAAAGAGAATAATAATAATATACAGAAGAAGTAAACTTTATTCAATTAGTAGTGGGAGACTTTGTACAAAAGTCGTTTGTTTGGGCACCTTTATCCCGTTTGTGTTTCTACCGTAAAGTATGGCCGTCAGTTGTTTGCCTTTCTAAGTTGCATAAAAAAACCCGTATTTTTCTGTGGAGCAAGTTACTGTACTCGCTTATTATGGCTGTGTTTTAATCGATGGCAGTGAAATTATATAGTATAGAAGCGTAGCATCATAGTCTTCAGAAATAGCGTCCTGTGAGGGGCTCCATGGTTGTCACAGTATATTTTGTCGTATTCATGGTGTTATTAATGTCTATAAACAATGGTTATGGTTACGGTAGATTGTCAGCTTGTTAGCCATCCTAAATATCATAAGAAATCTAGTTTTAACCGACTTCAAAAAGGTTTCCATTTTTAGTTTGGTCGCAATTTTTTTAATGTTTGCTGCTCATTTGAAAAATATTTTATTTTTATCTGAAAGGATTTACTTACATACTCGTATTTGTTTTTAAATCCAAAGAACTATTTTGGCCACAATTGAAGGCGATTTTCTTTTGTGGTATCCAATTTTATATTCACGAATATCCTTAAAAAACTCAATACAAATTGACTGTATTCACTACAGTCTCCATGATCCCTCCAAATACTAACATACGTAATGTACAAGTGATCGTATCGAATGTAAGCAAATGGAATAACTTGATGCTCGTCCAACTGAAAAATAGTAAGCTTAACTGAACATCGTTTCTATGTATATTAACTGCTTAAAAAAAACATTCAAGTATTCGTACACTTAGATCAGCCTTTCCCAAAGTGGGCGATAACGCCCCCTTGTGGGCGCTGCAGGCCTAAAGGGACAAGAGACCCAGAAAAAAAATGGCGTTGTGTTGCGGGCTTGGGAGGGTGATTTGTTGATCTTTATTTATTTATTTATTTAATAAGGTTCACATACAACTTTTACATTTTACATGCAACTTAATAATACAAAAAAATAATTTTGCCTAATGTAAAAATCTTTTATACGCGAACACCACATGCACTATTATAATATTTAATAAATTATTAATAATATCTGAATAATAAGTAAATTAAGAACTTATGTCTAAGATTTTCCGCAATAAGCTATATCTGCTGTTGGTGGGTCCTTGATCTTATCTTGAGGTAATAGTGGTTTTTAAATAGGTGAACAAATGGGGGCGCTAAAAAATAATTTATTCTCAAAGTGGGCAGTGGACAAAATAAGTTTGGGAACCTCTGACTTATATAGAGTATTATACAGATGGAGTGGCTCCATACAAATGCCTTTCTATAAACAGGTCAACTTTTTTATCCATACTGCGTGAATAAGGTTACCATAATATACATTTATAAATCAATTTATGGGAGAAAGTATGTTGTAAGGTTAAATTTAAAAATAAATATGATACAAAATTTTTATTTCAAAGAGGCTGGTAAATAGTCCACAATAATTCACAATGATGTTTTTTTTTATGCAACTTAGAATAGCAAAAAAGCTGACGGCCCACCTGATGGGAAGTGGTAACCGTCGCCTATACACATGAGCAGTACCATGAACATAACAGAGTATACTGTTTCGTCCATGATACCCCCCATGCTTTGCCATTCCTGACCACTCAAGTGTTATTCCTCTGTACCCTGTAAATTCACTCTCATATCTTCAAACCGAAACACAGCCATGCAAACACAACTGCTTCACGGTAGAAACACGAAAAGGACAGAGGTACCCAAGCAAATGACTTTTGTACAAAGTCTCCCTCTGGTTAGTCACATATATAAAATGTTACACAAAAAACCCAACTTCAATCGTTAAATGTATACGAAACCAATATGGATGTCGATTCTATTGAAAGCAAACATAATGATTTAAAATAAATCAACTCGGTAAAGTAAAAATTCCTGAAAAAATTCTCACAATAAGCCTCGGTACTGTTATTAATTAAGCTTTCAGGGATATACATACGTAAATTCTATTAAAAACCAAATTTGCCAGAAATAAGATATATGTATTTATTTAAAACTAGCTGTTGTCATGCGGGTACATTAATGAAGAAAAGAAAATCAACTACAGCCTCAATGGTCGCGTACTGCGCGGTTTCAGAGATGTTTCCTTCCACGAACACTCAGGTTGTGGAATGAGCTCCCTGCCGTGATTTTCCCAAGAGCCTACAGCATGGGGTTTTTCAAAAGGGAGGTAAAGAGGTTTCTTCAGGGTCGGCAACGCGCGCGTACTTCTGGTATTGCAAGTGTTCATAGGCTACGGTAACCACTTGCTATCAGGTAGGCCATATGCTTGTTTGCCACTTCAGTGGTATAAAAAAAACAAATATTGCCTCTCACTCACAAACATTTTTATATGATGGTTATTTAACCCAAAATTTTCTATTTTCCATATGGTTTTTCAAAAAAAAAAACAAAGGAAAATGATTATTTTATACAAACCTTGTCCTGAAATGAATAAATACATCAAAAAAAAATTATCCAAATATGTCCAAACATTCTGAAGTGATGCGTTTAAATATACTGATAGATAGATAGATAGATAGATAGATAGATAGATAGATAATTTATTTGCATTACTTACAGCACACAAACAGCAAAAGAGACAAAAGCACAGTGAAAAAATAAAGATACATGTACAAAAAATAAAAAAAAACAAAAACAAAATCAGAATGCATAAAATTAGTAACATTTTTTTTTCATGTATACGCCACAGTAATATTAATTTTTTTCTAGTTTCAATTCCTAGAATAAACTTATCAGACTATTTGTCAGAAACAGATAATAGTCGAAACTAGTTACTGTGACATGTGTAGCTCTCCAGACATAATGAACGATACGACTCGTGACAACTTCAACGCCTGTACATGAAATTTTGTCTCATTTTTTTGTTATATTATATACTTTTTGTGGTAACATAGAATAGAGAGATGAACTAGAATTCGGCTGTTTTTTTTTATATATATATTTTTATAACACAGGTGCAAACGAGCATTTTTTATATTTTTTTTTTATACAACTTAGAATGGCAAACAAGCTGACGGTCCACCTGATGGAAAGTGGTAACCGTCGCCTTTATACATGTGCAGTACCATGGACATAACAGAGTATACTGTTTCGTCCATGATACCCCCCATGCGTTGCCATTCCTGAGGACTCAGGTGTTATTTCTCTGTACCCAGTAATTTCACGCCATATCCCACCCTTCAAACCGAAACACAGCTATGCAAACACAACTGCTTCACGGTTGAAACACGAATGGGACAGAGGTGCCCAAGCAATCGACTTTTGTACAAAGTCTCCCTCTGGTAATGTGAGCATGTGACTCGATCGATGGTAAGTGACTACCGCCGCTCATAATCGCCCCCAACGACAGAGGCAGGTGTGCTGCCGGCCTTTTAAGAAGGAATATACTTTTTTCTTGAAGGTTATGTTGTCGTATCGGTTCGGAAATGCTGCTGCTGGAAGTTGATTCCAAAGAGTGGTTGTGCGTGGAAGAAATTTTTTTTTTATCTGAAAGGATATTTATTTATTTATTTACTTACAGATTAGTATTGTATACATTTTATCAAAATCGGTACAGTACTTTAGCCCACCTGCCAAGCGTGACAACTACGCTGAACAAATTCTGCGAATTATTGACAACAGACGTTTGTGTTTAAAAACTTTTACGGTAGTTTACATTTACATAATAACCGTCCACTCAAAATCCCTTTACATAATATGTTCATGTACATAAAATCCTTTCCAATCCGAGGTTAGAGATTTTGAAGCGCTCTTTCTAATGATATCACAATGCCTCCATCAATGAATACAAACAAAACACGCAATCCCCAGTAAACTATATAAATACTTTAAATCAATACATATCTATACTTATACCAGAGGGAGACTTTGTACAAAAGTCGATTGCTTGGGTACCTCTGTCCCATTCGTGTTTCAGTTGTGTTTGCATGGCTGTGTTTCGGTTTGAAGGGTGGGATATGGCGTGAATTTACTGGGTACAGAGGAATAATGCCTGAGGGTCTCAAGAATGGCAACGCATGGGGGATATCATGGGCGAAACAGTATACTCTGTTATGTCCACGGTACTACTCATGTTTATAGGCGACGGTTATACTGTTATAAGTATACTGTTTCATCCATGATACCCACCATGCGTTGCCATTCCTAAGGACTCGGATGTTATTCCTCTGTACCCAGTAAATTCACGCCATATCGTGGGATATGGCGTGAAAACCGAAACACAGCCATGCAAACACAACTGCTTCACGGTAGAAACACGAATAGGACAGAGGTACCCAAGCAATCGACTTTTGTACAAAGTCTCCCTCTGGTGAATTTAATTCTGTGATTATATTTTTATAAGATATTTAATTATCAATAATTAATAACGTCATAAAAATATCAAAGATTTTTTAATATTTCTAATTAGTACCGATAATGTTTAGATCAAAACCATTTTGTATTTTATAAATTTATACCCTTAATTGAATTTAATTATAAGTAATTATTGTTCATAAACAGACCTTAACAGGGTCTCAATAAAATTGACGCGGATCAAAGGAAGTTATTTGGTAATTGATAATATATTTTTTGGACGATAATACCGAAAGAAGGGCAGATGAAAAGCTAAAAAGACAAGGATGGACTGTGTGAAAGGTGATATGGCCAGAATGGGAGTCATTGCGGAAATGACTCCAAATAGAGAAGAATGGAAGACAAAAACATATTACGGCGACCCCAAATAGTGATTGGTATAAGGG